AAATTGGCGCTATAGAAATAAACTGAATAGAATCTCAGCCTCACTGGAATCTCTGACAGAGACCGCTAACCTGAAAGTGATGCTTGGGTTCAGAGCTTCATCTCACCTCTGTGCATTCCTTGTATCCTTTAGTGGCCTCTCCCAGACTCTCCTTGGCCTCCCTGCTTCCTGGGTTGGCCGTGTAAGCTTTCACCATCTTGTGGGCTCCGTCTCTCAGTTTCCTCTGAAGGCAGTAGGCTTCATAAAACTCTTCAACCTGAGCAGACAACGTCAATAATAACTCAATTCCCAACAGTGCATGTCTGTCAGGGTCTGACAGCAAACTCAGAAATCTTCAGACAATAAGAAGAAATGCAGTAAATAGACCTCCTGATGGCGAAACATGAGCTGCTATAGGCCTGGGCTGCTCTTACCTTGCTGAGATGAAACTCCAGTCTGGTGATGTACCGCTCGATCACCTTCACTTGCTGTCAGGGAAAAGCAGAGTTTTAACAGTTTCTCCCAGACTGGAGGAACAGGAGGAATGGATTGTAGCTCACCTTATCTAATTCGTAGAGGAAACCCTGAAGGAGGAAACATCAGAGCATCAGTGTTTGCATTTAAAGACATGAACATTCAGCACTTTAGTCACAGCTGAACGTACCAGCCGGGAGTTTCTTTTAGAGACTTTAATCTGCCTGCTGATGTTCTCCAGATCCATTTGGTAGAGCTGGAGGTAAGACCTGAGGAAACACAGTCCAGAAATTAGACACAACCACTGCTTCTTTCTATTCCTCCTAAACATAACAACCACATTTAGCCACATGTACAGAAAACTCTGCTTCATTTTCACTTTAGATGGTAGGACAGCGACCCTCCAGTACAACCAGGTCCCAGGCAGACAGCATCACTGGTTGCTATGGAGACTTCCACTCAGCTGACTTACAGTTCTGGTTGCTAAGTTTTGGGGGTCAGACTCATCCTAACAAGAGTTAAGAGGATAAAGGAAATGGACCTCTGTGTCATAGCTGAGCTCATAAATATTCACACCTACAGTGGATCTAGATATAATCCAGTGTAATTTTTTTACTAATTTAAAAGATCAGTCCATCTCTGCAGTTCAATTGCAATAATCCAAGTCAGCTACTGTGTAGTCTTTCCTTAACTGTCTACTGTGCAGATATTTGTACATCTAAAGAGAATATATTCCAGGACATTACAACTTTTTTAAGCTCTTTTGTACTATATACACTTTTTATATTGTCTCTTGTATTTTTTATCTTTAATGGCATCTTGCTGTAACTCTTAGACTCTATATAAGCTACTGGAACCAGAATATCCCTGAAGGAGTAATCCCAAAGGATTAATAAAGTTGAGTCTAAATCTAAGTCTAAGATATTAAAAAAAATGTCATTCTACCAAGAGGTTTGTTTCTGGTGGACAGGAGTCAGAGATTAACAAAGATTAACAAAAAGACTGGAGACATACTACCTGATCTGTTTTTGTTTATATTTTAATTAGAAACTGGAAAAATATTAAAGGAAAAGTCTGGTCATATTGAGAATACAAACTTCTGAAAGTACTTTAAATATGTAATTTTTCCATCCTGTTCAATAAATGATCAGTGTTTTTAATTCAGAGTAATTTTCATTTGAATGTGCTTTACTGGAGGCATCCATGTTTGTCAAAGAACACTACTGCCACCTAGGGGTTTGTGATGTTGCGGTGTGGTATCGGCTGTTGATCAAGTCTACATAATGATCCATTGATTATTGCTGGCTGACCGGACTTTTCCTTTATCACCTTTAACTGGGACCAAATGATGAATCTTCATTGGCTTTACAGCAATAACAACCTTTTCTATGTCTCCCTACCATCACCCTTATCACATTAGTCCTTGCCTTCTCCATCAGATCCAGGTCAACTCCACAGGTACCAGCAGACGTGGTGATTCTGCTGAAATAATTTTACTGGTAAGGATTTTTTCACCTTCTCAAATCAAATATGTAATCTGCCCCTGAAACCAGAACCAGGTTGGTGGAAACCGTTGCCCAGCTCTATACCGGCGGCGCTGATCATGATGGTTGGATCTATCTGAGAACTCACTGGAGGCCTTTCTTCACGGCGCTGTAGACTTCATCCAGCCGCTCTGGTTGGGGAACTTTCGGCGGTGGGTTTGGTTTGGTGGACATGCTGAAAAGCCCACTGGCTCGGCTGGACTTTCTGCTGATACCAGGAGTGCTGAACACTGAGAGGGTCCTGAAAATTGAGATGCATCACATTATAGCTTCTTATGCTGATCTGGCTTCAATACGCAGGTTTTACCATCAGTTAGCAGTACAATCATTATGAAACATAAGCTGCTGATGCTTTGGAGTGTTTGGACGGCAAAATGCTCTTACATTAGGAGCCGTTCGAAATGGCCATTCCCAGTCAAAAGCCAGCGAATGGCAGCAAAATCCCCTCCAACTTCCATCCACTGGCCTTCTCCTGGGCGTGCATATTTTTCTACTCTGACTCCACCCTTTCACTAAATTACAGGATCTGACCAGGAGATGACGCTTCTCTTTAGATATTAATGTCCACAAATCATGACAGAATGTTTTATATGTTTAAAAAGGAATTGTAGGGGAACAGCCAAAGACCACCCAAGGACCAGCAAAATAGCATGTACTTATATAGCGCCTTTTTTTCAAGTCAGGAGACTTGACCAAAGCGCTTTACACT